GGCGCTCTGGGTCTGCCGGGGGGTTATTCCTGGGGGGGTGCATGGGGGGAGTGGGCCCGGTGTTTGGCGGTGGTGAGGCCGGCCGTGGGGGACAGGGGAGGCAGGAAGGCGGGTGTGCGTGACACTCATGTGACGGTTGTTCTCTCCAATTGTTCCGCTCCCCTCACAATGGCAGATGATTGTAAGTACGGCAGCTCCCTGTCTGTCTGTCTGTCTGTCTGCTGTGTGTCAGTTCTGATCTCAGCCGGTTATTGTCTTGTGTGGCTGCCCGCGCCCCCTCCCCGCCCTCCCCCCCGCTCCCTCCTCTAGTGACCCCACCTCTGTCGCCCCCTGTTGCTCAGCTGCTCCTCGTCCGCCTCCTGTGCCCAGATCTGTAGGGCGAGCCTGTCCCCCAGGGGCCGGGCAGCGCCGTGGACACTCACCGTGGCTGGATCCGGTTGGGGGACAATGTGGCAGGGAGAAGGGGGTGGAAGGAAGAGATGTGAGGTCCCTAGGGACAGCTCCTCCGACCAGCCTCGGCAGCAGGCTGGTGCCCTAGTGATGGAGGCCGTGATGGGACCTGCATTCTCATGCCCACAAGCCCCTTGGCGGGGGCTTTGGTGGGTTTCTTTGCCATGTGCTGCATTGGGGCTAAGCGGCTGGTTCCCTCCCAGGCCCAAGCAGCCCAGCAATGGCCCATCTCTATTTAAGGGACTGTCCTGCAACTCCTAACAAAGAGCCCTTTCCATCCTCTTCTGGGGCTCGGCGTGACGCCCCTTTGGTCTGTTAGCAACCCGTGTCTCTGGGCTCTGTCCTTTAGGAGAAGGGGATGAGTCTGGGGACTGGGGCGATGCAGAGAGGGCTGGGGGGCGGGAACCTTGAACCTGGGGGCCCCAGGCACTGCAGGGTTGCAGTCCAGCTGGTGTTCAGAGCAGCGCGGAGTGGGATGGGGTTGGGGGGAGGGGCTGTGTGAACTCCCGCACTGAACCCCTCTGCGTTTCCTGGCCCAGGGGGTGCGGGGAAGGCAAATGGGTCGCAGCGTTTCAATCGCTAGCAAACCAGGCTGGGGCAGGCCTAGGTTGCTGCTCAGAGCGTGGGAGTGAGAACCAGCTCTTCCCCGCTCTGCCACTGACAGTCCGTTTGACCTTGGGCGAGGCACTGCCCCTCGTCAGGCCTCGGTTTCCCTAGGTGGGTGACGAGACTGAGCTGCGTCTGAATGGAAACGTAAGGGCTGTCCTAGGGGTTATTACTGAGTGAAGGATCACTGAGAGTGAATCAAGTGCATTTACCTATGTGCCCTACACGCATTTGTCCTCTGAGCAGATGGTCACAAGGCCCAGCGCCTGACTTTTCAGTCATCGGTGCCTGTTCAAAGCGCATTGTCACTTCTTCCGTTTCACAGGCAATGGCCTCAAGTGGTTAGAGCAGGGGACTGGAAGCCAGGACGCCTGGGTTCCATCCTCAGCTCTGCCGCTGGCTCAGTGCGCAGCCCTGTCACCCGGGGAAGTGGGAGCTGGAATGCTTTAATAGTGAGTGTCTGGGGCTCGCGAGGGCGTCGGAAATGCTACTAGCGAAGGGCTGTTCAGTGTCAGGCATTTTAATGCCCTTCATATTGTTTTGTGACTAGACAGCTTTTTCGGCCCCCTGCTGTGCTGAATTCCCCCCTTGCCCCCTTTTCTTTCCGCTGGAGTTTGAGATGCTTATTCAGGTTTAGTCCCTGCGGTGTGGGATCCAGCCCAGGTCCGGACACGGAGCCTAGCTCTCTGCCGGAGAGGCAGCCAGTGCTAGGCACAGCCAGCAGGCTGAGAGCCCTTGGTGTTTTGGGTGGGTCCTACCAAATTGTGGCATTAGCTGTTCAGCTGCTGAGGAGATGGTGACGGTGCGGGGCTGATCCTCCCCCCGAGACTGTAGCTCTCTAAAGGGGATGACTTTGCGTCCGAGCGACTCGCCATTGTCCGTCTGGGGCTCGCCGTCGCTAGGGTAGGAAGAGGAGCTTTGCACGAGATGGCTGGTTAAAGACCCTGAGTGGAGGCCAGGCAGGCGGTACCTGGCCTACAGCATGGGCACGGGCCCCTTGCCTGCTCTCTGCTAGGGAGCTCCGGAGAGAAGAACGCCTAGTGCAGGCCGCCTTCGGCTTGTGTCCCCCCGTCCTGGGCAGGCCACTCAGGGCAGGGCGCCTGCAAGGGCAATGTGACCTCTGCTGCTTGGCTTCTCCAGCTCCCCTCACTGTACAGCAGTGTGGATTCCTGAGCCCCCATCCCACCTGGGGATTTTTGTCCTTTCTGGATGCCCACTTCCCCACTGCCCTCTCTCTGCTCCCCCAGCTCAGCTGTGGTGTCTTGCATGATCCCAGCCGTGCTGCTGTGATACCTCTTTCGAAGGACACTCCTACAGGAATCTGGCAGCTCGCCCCTGTGCTGGGAATGGGCACGCCCCCCTCCTCCTTCACCAGCTGGGACCCCTGCCTCCTCCCCTCCTTTTTAGCTGGCTGTAAAAGCAGCATCACCCAGCACTGTTGCCTTGCTGTGTCCAATGCCACGATCACCTCCAGGGGCCCACAGTGGGAGAGGCCTAGCAGGCAGGTGGGATGTGCCCCCCGATCCACTCCACCCCCTCCCACAGACTTGTCAGCCTCCCCGAGCAGCAGGGGCCGGGGCAGAGTCTGACAGCTGGGGCCTGACCTCGGGCCGTGAATCCCTCAGAGTTAGGAGCCTGACCGCCTTAAGGCAGTGACGGGCAAGGTATTGTCGCTGCAGGGAAGGGCCGCTGTGGGCAGACACCAGCTGGGCTCCCAGGGCAGGGCCCGGCCCATTTCAATGCCAATCCGCGCCCATCCTGCCAAGGCTCTGGGGCGAGAACGCGCAGCCGCCCTGCCATGCTGCTGTGTGTCAAGCGTCCTGCCAAGCTGCCTGGATTGCTGGGGAGGTGCCTGAGGGCCCCCCCAAACACCCCCAGCCACACCCCCACCGTCACCGTCATAGGTTAGGCCTGGGACTAGCCCAGGACGGGAAGGTTGCGAGAAGCAGCCATATGTCCTCCTTTGGCATTCCCTCCCCTTGTGTATCCCCAGCTGCCAAAGCCCCCCAGGCTGCGAGGGAAGGGGGGGGGTGGGGAGGGTCAGTCAGTGCATCCTTCCCCTCCAGCGAATGATCACACACACACACACCCCTCCACACTCACACCTCTCTGGACCATTGATCGACTTCTGACATTGTTTCTGCAGGGGACGCTCTTGAGAAAACATGGCAAGGGGACAGAGAAGGTAACTAGCCCTCTGGCTTCTTTGACTGTCTGCGCTAGCCGTGTATCGCCTCACCCCCACCCCTCCCCAGCTCAAAGCAGTCTGCCAGCCCGGCTGCCTATTGCCTGGGGACCTGGGTGTCGTGCTTCACATGTTGTGTCGTCCAGATGTGCATTGTGCGTGTGTGTTGTCGTACAGAGGTGTAGTTGTGTGTTGTGTTGTCTGGGTCTGTATTGCCCGGGGATGTATGTGTGCATGAGCAGTTACACGGGTAGGTGTTTTGGGGGGAGTCTGTGTATCTCGCGTGGGCTGGGGATACCCATGCATGTGGCGTCCAGGCTGGGGAGGCGGTGTCGTGCCGTGGCCAGGGGAAACTGGCCCCCGGGAGCTGGAGCAGAGCAGGTGGGTGCAGGTCAGATGAGCCGCAGGGGGGTCGGCCCAGCTGTGGCACTAGCAAGGCATCTGCATGGCTGTACCACAGCCCAGCCCTACCCTTCCTGTGGATTTCATGGTCTGGCTCCTATGGTTAGAGGGGACAGAGCCGCCCGCCCACGGCCCCGAGTCCTGGAGAATGAGGAACCCTGGGGCTTTGGGGGAAAGGCAGCAAAGCCCGTCCTCTGCGGAATGCCAGGGCCGATGCACCTCCAGCGAGCCCAGCGGCACACGCCCGGCAGGGCCCGAGCTGCCGGCAGTGGCAGGCAAGGCCATTGTGAAGTGAGCTGCTGTCTGCTGTAGTAAACTGGCCACTTGTGGAGCAGCATGTGTTGGGTTGGGAGACAGTGGAAGAGAGAGAGAGTGTGTGTGTGCGTGTGTGCGTGCGCACATAGCAGAGGGGCTATTTGATGCCATATTGAGGTGGGGGGAGCCTTTCTGCTCCTGAGGCCGGCTAGCCAGTAGCGGCTCCTGCAAAGTGACCTGTAGCGTCAAGGCGAGGAAGGCAGGAGTCCTGTGGCACTCCGCTGTGCATGGGAGCAGATGCCAAGAAGTGGGCACAGAAATCCAGGTCCTCCAAACGCTTGCTCTGCCCAGCAGGCCGTAGCCCAGGTGGTAAATCGCGCCTCTCACTGGGACAGGGGCAGGTCAGGCCTGGCCTGGCTTTTCATGCCCACCTGCAATGGGTTTTGTCTAAAGCGCAGCAGCCCTGGCTAGCCAGCTCCCTAGCGTGAGTGACAGTACCACTGCCCATGGGCGCAGCTCTTCGCTGGCTCTGTGGAGTGCCTGGAAACATTCACCTGGGCTGGGGAGGGAAGCAGCAGGGGGCGGGGAGCCAGGACTCCTGGGCTCTTTTCAGCTCTGCCACTGATTTGCCATGTGATCTCGAGAAAGCCATGGCCTTGCTGTGTACCTCAGTTTCCCCAGTAGTAAAACAAGGCTACAAGTAGTGAGAGTTTGGTGGATTAGTGCCTTGTACAGGGCTTGGAGACCCTGGAAGGGTATCGTCATCAGATGCTTCCCCCTACTCACCCCAGGAAAGCAAACGGAGCCCCATAATACCTGTGATGGGGAGGGGGGGGCCAGGGTAGACTGCCTCCTGCAGCTGCCATCACACACTTGCAGGTGGGGCTGCGTGAGAACTGGTGGCCTCATCACAGGTATTTCCTAAAGTCTGCAAGCGGCCAGCGGAGCCATTTCGGGGGTGGAACAAAACTCTCTGAGCACCATGGGCCAGCTCCTCTGCTGGCGTGCCGTGGCGCCAACACAAACAGCACCAATTTACCCCAGCAACGAATTGGGCCCAACGCTTGCTGCGTCTAGAGGCGAGGACACGGGGTCCGATCCCGCTCGGGCTGGTGGGCTTGGCCCTGATGATGTGCTCCGGGGGATGGGTCCGTCCTCGGCCGGGTCGCTTTGCTGACGATGATAACTATATCCCATGCTGTTCTCTCTCCAGAGCAGGGTGAAGCTGCCCAGTCACACGGATGTAAGGAGACTCTTTTATTCTAAGCCTGCTTGGTTTTGCTCTCTGTCCTCTGTGCCTCGTGCTGTTGTTTTCTCACCCCCCTGCCCTGTCCTGTGCCCCCCAGGGACAGTGTCTTGTCGATCTCTCTGCTGAGTGGGGCTCAGCTCGCTGACCTGCCTGCATGCTGGGGTGTGAGGCCGGCACGGGAGGGTTAATGGGGGCCCATCTGCTGACAAGGGCTATGGAAACATTGTTGACTGGGGCAGGGTGTATATGCAGGGCTAGGCCCTGCTCGCCCAGCAATCCAAACTCTGCAGAAGGAAGTGGGGTCTAGTGGTTAGAGCAGGAGATGGGGGTCAGGACACCTGGGTTCTTGCCTGGCTCTGGGAGGGACGAGGCCTAGTGGTTAGAGCAGGGGACTGGGGGTCAGGAGTCATTCCTGGCTCTGACTCAGGGTGAGCCACTTTCGGGCGGTGCCCTAGTCCGCCCCACTGCACACTGGACGGGCAGCTGGGTTTGTCAGTCACTGGGGGGAGCGAAGGGCTCTGGGAGGCGCTAGGGAGGTTGTTGCCGTTCCTTCAGCTGCTCCGTGGGGGCCCTGCAGACCGTGAGCTGGGCCCGAGAGCAGTGACTTCTCCTGCCCACCCCGCCACATGCAGGCCGCAGCCTGATTCACCCCAGGCCTGGCTGGGCTGGGTTTCCTTTGTTGTGAGGGGCTGAGGGGAGCAGCCCTTTGAAAGGGGCACTGGGTGGGGGGGGACTGTTCCCCTGTGAGATCCCCCCCCGAGGGATGTCAGCTTTCACGAGCCCCAGCTCTGATGAACCTGTCGACCGGCGCGTGGCCAAGGGGTGCCCGCTCCAAACTGGCATCAGGAGCCCATAGCACAGAACTGGTGTCAGGGAGGCAGGCAAGATGCTCAGAGGCGTGAGCATCACATGGCCCCTTAGGGCTCCCAGGGGGCCCAGGCTGGTCCCTGAAAACTCAGCAAGCTGGACCTTCCTCCTCCAGTCTGGAACCTGTCACCTGTGTGTCGCCTCCCAGCCCCTGTGTGTCTCCGCCCCGCGTCACCTACTCTCGCTCCTTTCCTGTTTAAACGTCCTCTCTTTTTTTGCCCTCTCTGGCTCGTTGCTCTGTGGGGACGGAGGGGAGGGGGGAAGCGAGGTGGGTGTCAGACTGTCTCTCTGACCTCCCCCGCCCCCATCCTGAGCCCCACGTGTTGGCCCTGGGGGGTTGGGGCGAACGTTGGACTCACGCACGTCAGAATCAGGAGCCGGGGTGGGGATGCTGCGGCAGGGGGTCAGATCGTGACTCAGACGCGCTGGGGGGGCTGAAAGGCACCTTGTAGGCCATGGAAGGTGAGCGAGTGTCCTGGGGGGCCATCCAGGCGGGGGCCAAGGCTCGTCTCTTAGGCAGCCTGCAGGTCAGGGAGGGAAGGACTCCACCCCTCCTGCCCGGAGTCGTGCCTGGCCAGTGCAGCCACCGGGTGCCTGCACGGGGTGGCAGGGAGAGCAGCTGCTGCTTTGTAACCAGCGAGTCGGGTATGGGGCTTAGGCCTCCTCCCCAGAGGCCCACACCTGCCCTGGGCAGGGTGCGAGCTCCGTGCAGTGGGAGTAGGCAAGGGAGGCGGAGCCGCGTGCAGTGGAGGGAAGGCAAGCACCTTGCACTCTCCAAGCCCAGCGGGTGGAGGGGGCGCTGCACACGCACCCCACCCCCCAAATCATTTGGCCTGATGCTCCGGGGGCGTTCATTAACATCAGCCCGCGTGAGTCCCAAACGTCCCAAAGGGGGTGGGGCCTGGGGACCCTGCCAGGCAGAGAGCTGCCAACTCGCTGCTTCCTTGACACAAATATAGGTGAGTCCATTTTTCCACATGCCGGCTGGTCCGTCTGCCGGGCGGAGCCCCAGGCCTGTTGGCTGCTCACGGCAGGGGGAGCTGGTGAAATGAGTGCAGGGAAACCCACAGGGCACTATTCACACACATCCCCCACCCCCCATTCTATACCCCAGTATTGTCCCTCCTCTGCACTGCCCTGCGATCCCCTGCCAGCCGTTCTCTCCTCCGGGCGCTAGTGCCAGCCAGCACAGGGCAGGATCGCTTTCAAGCCTCTTTGCCGTTTGTTCTCTCTCTTGTGCGCTGCAGGGCACCCAGATGATCTTCAATGCGGCCAAGGAGCTGGGGCAGCTGTCCAAACTGAAGGTAAAAGGAATGGGACAGCGCGGGTCTAGTTAATCGCTGGGTGAGGCTGCTCCTCCCCAGAGGTCAATTAGCCAGTGATTGTAACGCCGGCATATAGGAGTAGCACCTGGAAGTCTCTTTAGCTTATCAGAGACGGCGTTAATATAAAGCAAGAAACCAGGCTAATGAAGCACCATTAAAAGGATCTGGTTTAGTAACTGCGAGACATCAGTCACCTGTCCTCCCTAAAGCATCAATCACCTGTCACCCCACCTTCGTGAGGGAGTGGGGGAGGAGGCAGGCACACCGTCCGGGCTCTGACTGGCTGGGAACTGGCGTGATACAGCCCTGGCTGTCACTGAGTGACTCGTTCGTTTCAGGACCACATGGTGCGTGAGGAGGCCAAGAGCCTGACCCCCAAGCAGTGCGCCGTGGTGGAGCTGGCCCTGGACACCATCAAGGTAAATCCGTGCCGTCTCCCCTGCACCTGGCCGGCTGCCTGCCCACCTTTCCCTCCTGCTAACGGGTGGGATAAATGCAGTCTGGCGAAGCCCCCGTCTCTGGGCGTGGCGACATAAGAGGTCCCTGCACCATCCAGCCAGGGAACTGCAGCAGAATGCCCCATCTGCCCACGACAGCACCGTGGCACGGACGAGAAGCAGAGACCTCCCTGCTGGGGTGTTCTGGGACTGTGCCCACAGTAGATTGCTCACCATGCTGGCTCCTCGGGTGGCTGTCCAGCCATGCCCACCCGTGCCCAGAAACCCCACATGGCTCCCTCCTGACCCGGTCTCCTCCATCTCCCCCCCCCCCCCACAGCAATATTTCCATGCGGGAGGAGTGGGGCTGAAGAAAACCTTCCTGGAGAAGAGCCCCGACCTGCAGTCGCTGCGTTACGCCCTGTCTCTGTACACGCAGGCCACCGACCTGCTCATCAAAACCTTCGTGCAGACCCAGTCGTCTCAGGGTAAGAGACACCACGGCCCCCTTCACACAGCGCCCGCCAAGGGCTGCCACAGCCACTGCGTCCACCTGCTTGACTGGTGTCCTGGGTACCTCCACCCAATGTCTTGGGTGCATCCGGGATGGGGGCATCTGCCCAGCCCAGTGCACTGGGTGCCACCCGGCATGCCGGGCATGCCTGTGGGGAGGGCACCTGCTGTGGGTGCATCCTGCTCTTCCTCGGGTAGCAGTGAAATAGGACTCGAGCTGCAGTGGGGCATCAGCACACAAAGGACGCAGCCCTTCCGCTGCCCTGCCTGGGGTGCTGGAGAGTTGGTGGGCAGGGGGCATCGGTGGCGGGGCATCTTTGCCCTGGCACTGCTATGCCACCCGCTAGGGAGACGGGCCGAGAGCCCCCAGGCCAGCAGCCTGGCCCCTGTTCTAAGTGCTACATGCACTACGGCGCACACACAGCAGGGGAATCTGGGGGGCCGTGCAAAGGGATCCTGCAGGACTCCCAGGAATAGTAGCTGTGCTGGCTGCGTCCTGCATGCCCGGGCTCCAGGCCCAGGGGAACCAACAGCCGAGGCATCGCTGGGGCAGTAGGGGGCCTTCCCAAGGTAGCCACTGGTTTTGGTGCCGCAGCTTTTGGGAGCTCAGCCTGGTGCCTGATTGTCAGAGGCACCCAGCCCCCCAGCTCCCTTTGGCATTATGGGCCACCAGCACCCCCAAAAATCAGGCCCCGGGTGCCTCCAGCCAGGCCCCCCAACTCACTGGCCACTTTCAAAAATGTTTAAATAAAATTTTCAGCATGCCCCAGGAGCACTGGGGGATGGACCCCCTGTGCAGGGCCCAGCTCGGAAGGGGTTAACCCTGCTGTGTCACTGGGAGCTCCACATGCAGTCCCTCTTCCAGGCCACAGCCACCAGCACTGGTTCCTGCCTTGCATCCAGGCCTGTTCCGCTTCAGGTTAGCACAGGGAGCTCCCCCTGGCCCGGACCACTGGGGGAGGGGAAACCGAGTCAGGGACGGGACTCTCCAGACAGCAGAAGGAATTCCAGTGCTGAACAGCGCAGGCAGGCCCTCCAGTGTGTGCCATTGCTCCATCCGCATGGGCACCGGCCAGGCACTGCAGGGGCTGGGGGGAGCCCTGGCAGGCGTCGTGGGGAGTTTGTCCTGTCTGTGCCTCCCGTCTGGTGGCCGAGCGGGGTGTGCAGAAGGGGCTGTGCTGGGAGATAGTAATGCTGCCTGCTCCCCCTTGGCAAGGGCCATGTGCATCCACAGGGCTCCAGTGCCTCATTACTGGTGGTGGATCGTGTGATTCATTTGCTAGTTGGACAGGTGTCCACAGAACCGCCCTCCCAATCGGTGCTAATTAGCCCCCAGCCGGCAGTAATGACCTGTACGAAAGCACCAGGGATCCGGGAGTAACAATGCAGCGAAACAAGCCCCCTCCCAGCCAGGGCAGTGCCCACGCCTGCTGGCAAATTCCACAGACCGCGGGGGACCCCAGCTGACGCTGGCCCCAAATTGCTCAGACCCTCCTCCTGGAGGCGTCCTGCTCCCAGCACACCCCCGCCCCCCGCTGTCTAACACAATGTCGCTGTAACGTCTTGTTTTGGATTCTCTAGCTGCAGCTGGCGCCTGTCTGCGAGATCTGATCTCTTTCTCTGTTGTTTTTCCTCCCTATTTTTCAATGTTTCCCCTTTGCCTTCCCTTACACGTGCTCTTTCTCTCTCTCCTTCCTCTCTCTTCCCTGTCTCTCTCCTTTTTACCTTTTTACTAGTCCATGGTGGAAAAGGTATTAGGTTTACCCTTAGTGAAGAAATTTATCCTGAGAAGGGTACGTCTAACACTTCTGAACCCTGATGCACCCGTCCTGAGCACCCCCACCTCCAACCGGCCAGAGCTAGTAACAGTCCCTCCAACCCCGATTGGGGCGCAAAGGCCTGGAGAGCTGGGAGGATGGGGAGGGGGTGTCATGTGGCTTATGGGGGCCTGTTCATTCAGGGCTGGGGAATGCCTGCTCTAAAAGGCCGCTGGGGATGGGGAGAGAGGAGGTGGCTGTGTCTTTCTTTCCAGCCAGACCCCAAACCTCCCTCGGCCCCACAAATGGGCGCTTCTTCCCAACTCCCCTCTCTTCAAGTCGTCCCTTCTTGGCCGCTGGCTAGACTCCTAGGCCCAGATGCTCCAAGGCACCTCACTCGATGAGGGCTGGCCTTCAGTCCGCACTTGTCCTGTTGAAGTGGGCTGACTTGCCACCTAACTGAGGATAAACCCAGCCGTGGTGTGTCTCACTGGCTCGCTGCGGAGGTGGCCCCAGGGAGGGTCATTAACCACGGGAACAGCCTACCGAGGGATTCGCTTGGAGTCTCTACACCTAGACTGGGGGGCTCTAGCTAAGATCTCTAGCTCAACCACAAGCTGTGGACTGGATGCAGGAATCAGTGGGTAACGTTCTAAGGCCTGTGCTCTGATCACAGGGGTCTCTTCTGGCCTGTGAATCTAGGTCACTGGGCGTTGATCCCAGGGACCCAAGGGCTCGGTCGTATTCTGCCTCTGCCAGACCCCCTCTCCCACCAGCGCAGGCATTCACAGCACTCACACGTGGGTGGGAAGTGAAGGGGAGCCGCACGAGGTTTCTCCTCCCCGCCCTCACGATGAGATGGCTGCAGCGAGGAACCGAGAGCTCCCTCCCGGAGCTCAGCTGCCTCCAAGGATCCAAACCTTTGGGGAGAAAATGGAGCAGGGGCAGGGTGTGGGAGGTAGAGATCAGAGCCAGCCCAGCCCTGCCTCAGCCTTTAAACACCAGGCTCCAAACGGAGCCGAGGGGGCCCAGATGCGGCCAGTGGCTCACCAGCCTCACGAAGACTCTTACTAGCCTTGCTCCGGGTGCAAATAAGTCCTGCCCGCCTTAAGCAAGTGGAATGACTGCATCAGAATGCGGGGGTGGGGCTGCCCCATTCCCCCCCCCCATGCAGCTTGGCCCTGCCACTTGCATTCCAGCCCTCGCGTGTTGGTGCCATTTGGCCTGGCGCAGGGGTCACTGCGGTGTGTGTTTCCCATGCTTGCATTGAGCACAGAGATGGTCGCTCCTCCCTCCCTCGGTTTATGGACTGAGCGAGTCTCAGCATGTGACTCCGGGGGCCGGTGGGGGATGGGGGTTATTGTTTTAGTTCGGTGCAGATCTGGAGGGAAAAGACAAAGAGACACGAGTGCGTCTGTTTGGCACGCAGGGGCCAAAGGCTATGGATCCAGAGAGGTTCCCCCTCACCCCACCCCCACTGCCTTTGGAGTAGCTGTGGGGCCCGGTCCCATCACCTCCACCTTTGAGATGAAGCTGTATGCGCCAGCCACCTCCCGTCCACCACAGGTCATTTGAATCCAGCAGCTTCAGTGCTGCAGCACAAACCTCTACCACTTGCGCTACAGGTAGCTGTTAACAGTAGTAGGCTGTTATCCTCTACCATGCACCCATTTGGCCATTAGGTTGCAGGGCCCAGGGCACACGCTGTGTGTTTGAGCAACGTGGCTGCGTGGGATAGAGGCAGAGAGTGACCCCTTCCGCAACAAGGGGGGGGCCTTCAGTGTGGACCCCCTCAAAGGCGGTCTCACTGCTCCCCTCTTTCTGCCCCCCCGTCACCAACCCAGGCAAGTCAGTAAAGGCCCATGCACAATGCCCCCCCCCCCCCCCAGCCAGCTGTACCTCGCCCTAATCCTGGGGAGCTGGATTCCCATTGGGGCTGGCGAGGGACTCCGGCTCTGCGATCCATGGTCTTTGCTCATCAGACTCAAGCCCTGCAGAACAGGACGGTTCCCGCGTTAGCCTTTCCTTCTCCGCCCGGGTTGTTTTCCATGATGGTTTGGAAGATTCCCTCCCCCGCCGCCATTTAAATGTCTTCCCTCCACACCCTCCCCAGTTGGACTGAATTGTTCATCATGCACCTGCCCCCAGCCTCTCTCCCCTCCCCCTCCCCCTCCCCCCACCTGCATGCAGAGCCCCAGGGAACCCTGTCTGGACCGTGAGCCGTCTTGCAAGTCAGGCTTTGCCTGTGGGGTAAAGAGGGAGGCAGCCTTTGTGGGGTAGGATAGGGTGTGGGGGAGCTGGGGGATGGGCTGGGGAGGTGCTGGTGGGCTCAGGTCACATGAGCTTGTGCGCTGCTAGTCTGGGACTGTGGCATTCTGGGCTACTGGAGGTGACGGGGATTGTCAAGGAGAAGCTGCTGCCAAAAATCAGGCAGGATCTAGGCTGATGGATCCAAGCAGCCCCCGGTGAAACGTGACGGGTGGGCTCAGCTTAGCCGATAAGACTCCCCCCTCCTGCTCCCCCACAGCTCAGCAGAGCTGTCAGCGAGAGCGCTCCGACTCTGGGGCTGCCTGTGTGTCCTTATGGGACGATGCAGTTCTGGCGGGACCCAACTGAGAGGGCCAATTCAGGTCAAATTGCTAAAACAGGGCAGTTACAGCCCTAGGCTGGGGTTTTTCCACCTCTAAGGCAAACCAAACCAGCCAGACAAAGAGGACTTTGGTCTCACCCCACTGGCTAACCACAAATCACACAAGCAATTCCCTTAAACACTCCAGTTTCCCACCAGGGCCACTCGTTATGGGGATAAATGGTTATGAAAACCAATACCCCAATAAAAGAAAAAAGGTTCTCCCAATCCCAAAGGACCAAGCCCCAGCCCCAGGTCAATATACAAATCAGATCTTACCCACAAATCACGCTGTTGCCAATCCTTTAGAATCTAAAATCTAAAGGTTTATTCATAAAAGGAAAAAGATCGAGATGAGAGCTAGAACTGGTTAAATGGAATCAATTACATACAGGAATGGCAAAGTTCTTGGTTCAGGCTTGTAGCAGTGATAGAAACTGCAGGTTCTAATTAAGTCTCTGGAGTACATTCCCAGCTGGGATGGGTCATCAGTCCTTTGTCCAGAGCTTCAGTTTGTAGCAAAGTTCCTCCAGAGGTCAGAAGCAGGATTGAAGACAAGATGGAGGAGAGGCATTAGCCTTTTTATAGTCTTTTCCAGGTGTAAGAACACCTCTTTGTCCTTACTGTGGAAAATTACAGCAAAATGGAGTCTGGAGTCACATGGGCCAGTTCCTGCATACTTTGCTGAGTCTCAAGGCATATTTGCCTTCTCTCAATGGGTCAATTGTATAGCTGATGGTCCTTAATGGGCCATCAAGCAGGCTAGGCAGAGCTAACACCAACGTGTCTGGGATGTCTCCCAGAAGCATAGCATAAGTTTGAAATACAGACAGTATAGAGCCAATATTCATAACTTCAACTACAAAATTGATACACACATATAGACAACATAATTATAACCAGCAGACCATAACCTTGTCTTAGACACCCCATTTGACCCCCTTTATACAAGATTTGGTGCCACTACAGGACTTTGGTTGCAACCATGTTCTATGTGGTCCCAGATTATGTCAATAACTTCACACCTTAGCAGGGCTCTCCCCTGGTAGCTCTCTGGGACAGGAGCCCCCCGGCCCCACGGCCAGCCTCCTCCGCTCCGGGGCACCATGTAGTAGGTGGGGATGGAGCAGCCTCACTCGCTGAGCCCAACCTTCCTGCGGCCGAAGTCGAGTCTCTTCCCAGGGACTCATTAGAAAAGAACAAAAACGTCGTAATTGGCCCTCACTCAGTCTCCTGCCCAGTCCTGCCCAGAGGCCCGGCCTCAGCCCCCAGCTGAGCTACAGGGTATGGAGCCCGTCCCGTCCCGTCCCCAAAGCCGTGAGCTGCCCCCTGTGACTTATGGCTCAATAACGGAGCAATTTTATTATTGCAATTAGCTTGGGCTCTGCCGTTTTCTACGGTTCATGGTGAAAAGAGCCATGAACCCCGCTCCTGCCCTGGCCGACGGGCGGAGAGCGGGGTGCTGGCTCCTGCACATCATTCTGAATGCATTGGCAAGGCGACGCTTTCAGCCTCTGCAGTGAGGAGACGGTTCCTAGGCGGGCTGGGCTGTCGCGTGCGCAGGGCTGCCTGGGCGTCTGGCGCCGCACAGCAGAGTGGGAGAAGTGCGGGCTCAGGACTCCTGGGTTCTAGGCCTGGTTCTGCCACTGCCTTGCCGGGTGCAACTTGGCCATGACACGGGCATTAGCGCCGCACCTTCCCATGCAAACCGAGAGCAGCCTCATGTTGTGCGAGGCACGATCCAGGCACCAGGGTAGCGACAGCCCCAGAGACACTCCAGCCATGCGAGGACAATGGGACGACCACCGTGCTCCTTTCACCGGGGCCCTGCTTGGAGTGAGGGGAAGGCTGCAGCTGTCTCTCCACAGCCCCCGGGCCGGCTCACGCTGGCAGTGGGCAGGAAGGGGAACAGGAAAACACTGCTGAACATGTGGCGGGGGGAACCCATGAGCCGTTGTCTCCTGGCTGCCCAAGCTGGTGACCTGATTCCTCCAGCAGGGTGGGCCCAACTTGGCCTGCCGTGTGCTTGGCTGGAGGGGGGGCTCACGCCTTGCCTTGCCGTTGCGGAGCAGGAGCTGGCGTGGATGACCCGGTCGGGGAGGTGTCGATCCACGTGGAGCTCTTCACTCACCCTGGCACCGGGGAACACAAAGTCACTGTCAAAGGTTGGTACCCGGCGTGGGGCATGCCCAGCGCTCTGAGCACAGGGGGGGGCAGGGTGTCACGGAGTCCCCGGGCGATGCTCTGGAATTGCTCCCCACAAAGCCAGTCAGGACGTTGGGGAGCCTCCTTTCCCTCGGAGCAGACTGTCTTCAGGGCAAGAAGCTTACACGGCTTCACCTTCCTGGGTCTGATCTTGGAGCATTCAGCATATGCCCCTCCGTGCGCTTCCCACAGTGAGTCCGCCCAGGCGGGGAAGCCAGAGGGTCCTGCACCCCCACTTCGCAGTCAGACGTGACTCTTAGCCAGCCAGTAAAACAGAGGTTTATTAGATGACAGGAACACGGTCTAAAACAGAGCTTGTAGGTACAAAGAACGGGATCCCTCAGCCGGGTCCATTCTGGGGCCCAGCGAGCCAGACAACCCCGTCTGCACTCACTCCCCGTCCCCAGCCAGCTCCAAACTGAAACCCCCTCCAGCCCCTTCTTTCTGGTCTTTGTCTCTTTCCCGGGCCAGGAGGTCACCTGATCTCTTTGTTCACCTTTAGCTATCCCCTTGCAGGGGGGAAGGGCCCCGGCCATTTGTTGCTAGGAGACAGAGTGTCGGCTATTTATGCACACTGGCCTTTATCCCACCACCTAGAGACTTAAGAAATGCCTAGGGGAAACTGAGGCACCCACACAGTATTCAGAGAAAACATTAAGAACAGTCCCACTTCGTCACACAGGGGTACCCTCCTGGCTCTTTGGGGACATGCACATGCCCGAACCCCTTCAATAGCCCTACGTGGCCAGCCCAGGACGCTGCCCTGCCGCCAGGGTTGTTGGGGGATGGGCAGGAGTGAATCACCTGTGGCCACATTGACATTTCAGTTGCCAAAGGCCAGGAGCAGACAGCACTGCCTGGTCTGGGCTGCCCCCTTCCCTCCGGCCCTCCCAGTGCCCCCCATCCTCCCCGTGGCCCCAAGCCGCCAGCTGACGCACCCTTTTCTTTCTTGCAGTCGTAGCTGCTAATGACCTCAAGTGGCAGACGTCCGGCATCTTCCGGCCCTTCATCGAGGTCAACATCATCGGGCCCCATCTCAGCGACAAGAAGAGGAAATTTGCCACCAAGTCCAAGAACAACAGCTGGGCCCCCAAATACAATGAAAGCTTCCAGTTGTGAGTGGCTTTGACACACATTTCAGTTCCACCCCCTCCCCCGATAGACCAAGATCTTATGAGCGAAGCAGGGCTGGGCTGGGCTGGGCTGGGCTGCAGTGGAAAATGAGCTGCACGTGGGAGGGGGTGATTCAGTGATGGCTGTGCTGCTCTCTGAGTCAGCTGATGCACTAGGGGGCGCCATGCTGTTCAAAGTGCCACCTCGGGCTGGTCAAAAATGGTCTGTCTAAGATGATTTTTGATGGCAAACTGGGTTTTCGACTAAATGAAATTTTTCACAAAAATGGTCTGTGTTCTGCACAGAGCACTGGGACTATATCTCCCATGATGCACCACCTCTCTCCCGCCAAGAGGGAGACCATGGTACACTATGGGAGATGTAGTCCAGGCAGGGAGACCCACCTATAGAAGAGAATGGGCCCATGAAACTCCTGAACTATTTCTCCCATGAGTCACCACGGCTGGGGCTCCCATGATGCTCTGCTTCCTCGCTGTAAGGAGGGATACTGTGGGAGTTGTAGTCCAGCCGGGGAGCCCTGCCTGTAGAGTAGAATGGGAGCGTGAGGCACCTGAACTACAGCTCCCATGAGGCACTGCAGCACCGTTTCCAAAGTCCGAAAAATTGAATTTTTCTCCCCACGTTGCTCTGCCATCGCTGGAGTCAGACTCCATGAAACGTGACCATCACTATGAATTGTTGCCATTGTTCCCTAGTGATTATTAGTTACAATTAATTATTCAGCCAGCTGCTGTTCCACTGAAGCGCTCACAGCACCAGGTTTGGTTTCTGGTAAGAAGTTTTTAGCCCTGGAGTGGCTGTGGCTCCTCCAGCCTTTGGGAACCTCACCTTGCGGTCAGCAGCGTTTTCCCTTCTCTCAGAGCCACAGAAGGCCACACTGGGCTGGGGCACAACCCCCACTGTCCACACACCTGCTGTTGGGGACCCAACAGCTGCCAGGGAGAGGCAACCACCAGCGTCCCAGGGCCTGGGGGCCACATTCCTTCCTGCTGGTGACCTGCTCCGCCCTGCAGTTCCCCCAGCCCTAGGCTGATTCCTGGGCAGCGAAGCGCCAGTGCCCCGGTGCATGCAGCGGGCGGGGCCGGTAACCGTGTCCGTCCTCTTCCCTCCCGCGCAGCACCCTGAGCAGTGAGACGGGCCCCGAGTGCTACGAGGTGCAGGTGTGCGTCAAGGACTACTGCTTCGCCCGGGAGGACCGCACGGTGGGCATCGCTGTGCTACAGCTCAAGGACATCGTGCATCGGGGCAGCTGCGCCTGCTGGCTGCCCCTGGGCCGGCGCATCCACATGGACGACACGGGCCTCACCGTCCTGCGCATCCTCTCGCAGCGCAACAACGACGAGGTGGCCAAGGAGTTCGTCAAGCTCAAGTCGGACACGCGCTCGGCCGAGGAAGGCAGCAGTTAAGGGCCTCAGCAGGTGTAGAACGTCCCCAGCACCACCCCCCTCCTGCCCCTTTTCTACAGCATCCTCCAGCCACGTAAAAGCCATACAGGTCGTCCACAGCCCCCCCCACCAGATAGGGAAGGGAGCCCCCCCCTCCGGGAAGCCCTTGCCACAAGCAGGCTCCTGCTTCCCAGTGCCAAGGATCGAAGCAGGCACTCTGTGCCCCTCCCTGCATCCCTGGGCTGCAGCTCAAGGGCACTGCTCCAGCTGCCACGGGGCAGGGAAGATGCAGCCCCCAGGGAGCGCAAGCTGCCCTCACTGCTGGCAGGGGTGGACTTAGCGCCTCTTCCTGAACCTGTTTCTGTCACGACAGATGCTGGGAGAGGCAGAAGCCGAGGCCTGGAGCTAACCGTGAGGCAGGAGCGTTTGAACAAACGTGAGCCACCCAGTATGGCCACAAGGTTGGCACAGCACTGCCCTCAGCTTCCAAGGGGAAGCAAGGCTAGATCCCAGCCCCCCCACACTCATCCCTGAGCTCCAGGAGAATCACCCTAGCTGGTAGCAGTATAGGGGACATGCCACATTGTTGAGTAGGTTGATTCCCTCCAGCAGGAGGCAGCATCACGTGTTCAAACTGCCCTGTGGTCATGGCAACCTCATTCGGCACTAGAGATGAGCCAGGCAGCAATGGGCACAGGGAGGTTGAGCCGGGCTCCCTTCAAGGAGCGTGGCTGCTAAGGCCACACACAGGCCAGCGTCAGCCTGCTCCAGCTGGCGGCTCTGGGAGTCCATAGCGTGCCACAAGCTGAGTCCGCTCTAGCCAAGCCCTGGGCAGGTGGCTCAGAGCAGCTTAGTCTGAGGCCAGACAGCAGGGCTGGGGCCGAGCTCGTCCACCCAGGCCAGCAGCAGGAGGGTGCTAGCAGGAAAGCAGGGCAGGGGAGATGTGAACCAGGACCACTGCCAGGACCCTGCCACGGGGCTACACACACATGGGGCGGCGTCACGCTAAGGAACCCGGATCCCAGCTCTACCCTCCCTCCCCGGCAGGCTCAGAGACCAGCGCAGCTGGGAGGAGGCAGCGCCTTGTGCTGCTAGGAACTGGTCCCGCTCCCAGTTAGCAATAGGATCCTGCCGGGCAGCTGCAGAGCCAGCGTCCCTCCCAGGCAGCGCCTGCATTGGGACAGGGATGTGCAAACCCCATCTCCCCCCCTCCCCGCAGGCAGCCCTTCCTGGGGGGCTGAAGCAGGGTAGCCTCCCTGGGCGAGAAGGTGCAGCAAAGCGGGGACTCAGGGTCAAGGGCCTGTCCTTGCCGTCCTGCGTGGGGGAGCAGGTGAGTAAACGCCCGGCCGGTGGAGGCGAGAGGGAGTGAAAATGGGGCCGCAGCCTGGGTGCAAGTGAGTTAGCTGCAGCAGGTGGGACAAGGGGAGGCACCTGAGGAGGTTGGGTCACTTTACAGGATAAAAGGCAAAATATTTCTCCCAGCCCTGGTTCCACCGGGGAGAGCGGCACAGGCCCATGATTCCTGCCTTGGCCTCGTGCTGAGTTGGGGGGGGGGGAAGGGAGGGCTCCCAGACGGTAGGCGGCGGGACTCCCACACTGGCCCAGGGTGCTTGAAAAGCAGTGGGGCAAAGATCCCTGCCCCCTGCCCCTGCTTGCTCTGCACGTACCGCTGCAAGGGCCCTAAACCCTTCGCTGCCCCCCACCCGGGAGAGCTCCCGCTGCTCCCGGCCTGGCCGCAGGGCCAGGGCTCGGGCCTGTTCCCCAGCGACGCTCAGAGCGCGGGGGGAGGTGCGTGGGCTTTATCTGCTCCCTGGCACAGCCAGAGCCCAGCTGTGCCAAGAGCCCCCCATCCGCTGTGCGTGGCTGGCCGAGCCATGGCCCTGTGAGCCCTGCGCTGCCAGCCGGAGTGAAACCCCCTCCTCTACCCAGGAGAGTGCCAACGCCCTCGCTTTCCGGCAGGGACCACGCCGCCCTCTTCCATGCCCCATCCCTTCCCGGCAGCCTCGTGGGACCCCATCCCCACCTGCATGGCAGCTTCCAGCCCTTCCCGCCCCCACGTGCGCCGCTGGCCAGGGGGGTCAGACGACCTTCGCCCACGGTCACGCCCAGCCGTGGAAGGGGCACAGCAGTGGGGCCAGGCCCAGGGGCAGCACTTCCTGATTTAGCAGAGCCGAGTGCAAGGGGCCCATAGGCCAGGGTGGGCTCCAGCGTCTTTGCCGCGGCCCCGGCAGAGAGGCCTGGGCACGCAGCTGAGCCCGGGGGAAGGGTGTGCTCTGCGCTCAGAGGATTTCAGGCCCCAGCCAGAGCCAGCAGCTACCACGCCCCTGCCACGGAAAGCCTGGCCCGGCTCCGTGGGCAGCAGCTGTCCAGGAAGGCCGGATCCTGTAGGCAGAACAGCCGCAGGTCAGGCCAGAGGCAGAGCTAACCCCTCTTGGGGCCCTGGGCCAGGGCTTGGTGCCAACCTCCCCAGCGTCTCTTATGCTCACTCCCAGCAGCCCCAGTGACTCAGCACCGCCTGGGCCCTGCTTACGCAGTGCCAGCTCTGGCCACATGCAGGAGCCGTGCCCCAGCCCCCGCTGACGAGGGGCCCCGAGTGACAGGAGGCTCCCCACCCACCCCCTCTAAGGGCTTGATTCAGACCAGGCACTGCGATGCCCATGCAACGCGGCTAGGCCCAGCGTGATGGGGGGAGGCCCAACCCGCTGCTCCTCGCGCCAGCGCAGGCCTCTCGTCCCTGTCCGTGGCATGCAACTGTCTACCTCCCCGCAGGCAGAATGGGGGCACAGCAGCCTCCACGCACAGGCCCCAGTGCCCCCCTCCCTGCCCTGCCAGGTACCAGCCTTGGCAGCCTGGCAGCTGTGGTTTGAGTTGCACCAGGGAGCTGTGCCCGGGGAGAGGGGGCGGGACGGCCTGGCCCCTGCAGACAGCTCTGTAAATATGTAAATAGCTGTAAATACAGACAGTTTTTCCGTGTTCTTTACCCGACTGCAACAGCTCCGAAGGGCTATCGCGTCAGACCATGGCCATACGGCGCAGGGGACGGAGGTGCAGCCTGTGTGACCCAGGGCACTGCCCCCAGCCCCGTGCCCTGCTCACTCGTCCATGGGCCCTCAGTCCTCCCCCCACCCCCGGCAAAGGCACAGCCTGGTCCCAGCCCCCTCCCCTTAGAGAGGAACCCCAAACCCAGGCAGCTGCCCCCGACTCTGTAAACACCCACCAGCCCCTTCAGAGCCTCCAAGAACAGAGTCCAGTGCAAGCTCCTGGCTCGGACCATGGCCAGAAGCGGATACCCAAGAGGAAGGGGCAAGAACCACTACTAGCCGCTGTGGGACTCTGCCCCCCCCCTTCCTGATCTCTTAATAGCTAGGGAGTTTTAATATCCCCCCCCCCCCCCCCCCACCCCCTGTTCCCCCCCCCCCCCGCCGGCCCCTGCAGCGCCAAGAGCAGCTGCCCCCCCCCCCCCCCCCCTCATTTCAACCCCAGCCCCATGCTGAGCAGAGGGGCTGGTAGCTGGGCCTCCCCAGCCAGATGCACCAGGGGGGCTAGCAGAGGTAGGGCTGGTTTCAGGGCTAAAGGCCAAGCTCATTTTGACACCTAACACCCATCCTCCCCCCACAGCTGGATTTAGACATTCCCCCACCCCCAATCCCCAAGGGACAGCTGGGCCCTCTGCAGTGTTGTATCACGGCCAGGAAGGAGCTCAGGTTTTCCAAGCTGCCAGCCAGTCTGCCGGGGCAGGGCTCGGCCCTGCCAGCAGGGCTCCCGGTGCAGCCTGGGACTGGCATTGAAGGGGGGGGGGGGGGAGCTTGAGCAAGGTCACAAGCCATGGGGGGCCGATTGGAGACGGCCCCTCTGTCCTGTCACAGGCCCCCAAGTGTGTGAATCCCACAACCGAAGAGATTGAACCTGCTCCAATCCTGCCCCAGCCCCCATACACACCCGTCACGTGGGGGCAGAGCGCCCACCCCCACTGGCAGAATTCACACCGCAGATGCTGCTTCCCTCTACCCCCAGCTGGTTTCTAAAGGTCGGGGGGTAATGACACCCAGGGCCCCAAAGCAGCGCCAGGCAGGGCTGTAGTGTGCACAGGTCCCTGGCTCAGGAAGGGGGGGGTGAGCCCCAGAGCCTCATTGCACACCCGGGGTTACGTTTCCCCCCAACAAAACCCACAACCGCTCGGGGGGGGGGGGGTGCCGGGTCCCGCCCCCCCCCGCCCCAACCCCCCCCCCCCCCCCCCCCCCCCCGAATCGGCGTCAGGGGAAACGCGAGCAGCTGGAAAGGGATGGGGACGGGGAGCCAGGGGACCGAGTCCCAGCTGTTGCAGGGTGGGCGCTGAACGGGGCAGCGGGCACAGCCCTGCAGTGGCCGATACATTCTAGCACCCAGCACAGCACCCCACACCGCGGTGGGCTGCAGCCAGGGAGGGGGAAGGAGACTGGGGAGGCGGAGAACATTGATGTGATTTACCCAGGCCTCAGGATCGGCTAGGCCACAGCTTCAACCCATCCCATCCCCCACCCCATTCCCGTGGGAGCATAGGACAATTCCCAGCAGGGACAGAGGCCACGGAGCAGCAGGCCCTGCCCAGCAGAGATTGGGACAAAGCAGACGTTGGGGCAGGGACCCTAGGAGAACAAGGAGCTGGCAGGGCCCGTGCCCAGAGGATTGGGGGCTCACTCCCACGCCCTGTTCCTTAACAGCCCAACCCTGCTGTACCCCTCAGCCCACAGCTGGGCACAGGGTGCAGCCAGGGCAGGAGCAGGCCTCCAGCCAGCGTTGAGAGGAGGCAAAGGCCAGGAGCAAGAGGCTCCTTTCCCCACACAGGGCAGGAGGAAGGGGTAGTGACCTAGCCCCATACAGCAGCCCGAGCCCATAGCAAGGGGACAAGATGCAAGCAAGGAGACCCCACAAGCGTGCAGGTGGGAACAGAGATGGACAATGGGATTGCTCTGGCCCAGGGGACCCTCTTAGGTGCCGCAGGGAGCTATGCAAAGAACCCCAGTGGGCTGGAGCAGGCCTAG